TATATGTATGTAATCTCAGCCGCCAAATTTACGTCCCGATACCATCAACACCATCTGGATGCTTGGCGGTCCACCACTGTACGTTTCAGAAGGAGTTTTCTTCGTACGCGGAAGTACCCTTTCTGTGGAATAGTTTACCACCGGCGATTTTTCCGGACCGATACTACCTGGGGACCTTTAAGAAAAGAGCTTACTCCTTTCTAAAGGGCCGGCAACGCACCTGCAATTCCCCTGGTGTTGCGGTTGATCATGGGCGGCGGTAGTCACTTAACATCAGGTGAGCCGCATGCTCGTATACCCCCTCTTCTATATAAAAAAACCATTGTTTTTCTGTGTGATTCTGAAAAGTTTTACTTTTGATGATAAAGATTATTAGCAAAATTTTTAGCTAACAATGATAAAGGAGGCAATACCTAATAAAATACTCCATAGTAAGCATATAATTCAGTAATTTGGTAATTTAATGTGCTTTATAACAAAAATGAATAAGTTGTTGTTTATTATAATATGAAAGTATTGTGTGTGATTATAGTAATATGTACGATTTTGTAATAAAATCAGTAGTGTCTAACAAAAAACAATATTTTTTTAGATTGTGTGAAAATAAAATTACCTTATGGCGAATATGCCACCTGCGTCGAGTGGACAGGACTATGAATAATATTTTGAAAATATTTCTGGCAGGTGCCAGCCCAATGATAATAAATGGGCAGCACTTAAAGCTAAATCATGGTTATTTTAATATACTCTTTGTGTAGGATCACTACCGTGACCATTTTATTGACTACAAATGGGACAATGCCTCACATATTTAATCAGTCCACTCAGTCTTAATATTTCTGCAGTCTCATTATTTTCTGTCAACACAGGGTAAAATAATGACAATGATATCAGCTGAATGCTTTTAGAGATTTAAGTGAACCGTTACCGGAATCACACAACAACAATCGTTATAACACGCAGGTACTTATTTTTCGCATTTGACATCAGTGATTATTTATTTGCTTAACGCCTATTCTTTCTTACACCATATCGCCAGCGAAACAACAAACTCGCTCGGTTCCAGCTCAAGTCGTCAGCAATCACCTGCAAAATTACTTTAAATTTTTCACATGGTTTGAATCTTGCAATTGCTATAAAAAAAAGTCTCAAAGCTTTCCTCGGAGACACCAGGATGGAGTTACGAAATTGTACGGATACGATTCAAACGGGACGTATGGTCACGTTTGGCATAACATACCACAGAACAACACTATTAATCCTTACTACACGTAGACAGAGAATGCTATAGACAAATTCATAACTTTTGTCACAGTCACACAAAAGAAACTTACGCCGAAGTCGTGTAAAGAAATGAAATAGAAAAGAATAGAACGATGAGATTTTTTGTTTCGCTGAGCGTGCCAAGTTTTACAAGGTTAGCACACTACTTTGCTAAACAGAGATTGACAGCTAACGTATAGCGAGATATTGTCTCTTTATAAAATACAGTTTTACGTACTTTATGTTAAGTAATCCTTATTAAATATGGTTGTGAACCATTTAGACTTAGTATTTCAACCATTTTTTAAAAAACATGGTGCGGTGTAGTGTTATAGGGTGTAAAAGTGATAGTTGAACGAAAATGCCAGGATTGTCTTTTCATTCGTAAGTACACCGCTTTTTATCGGTTACTAGGCAGTCTGTAACATTTTATAAAGTTCATTTTTATTGTGTATAATGTACTCTAGAAATAAATTTATAGTTTAAAAAGCACAAAAATAGCAATTGCAATTATTATATAATTAATCTAAAATCTTTGGAGTTGCCAACATTTCTATAAATTATTACCTACTATTATAGGAAATAATAAAATGTATTCTGAAGTGTCTATTATTTAAATATCTGAAAGATTTAACGGCTTATGACAGTTTTCCTGGCCATGATAATTTACGTTGGAATTAAATCGTAGCTACAGGACGAACAGATTGGACACCAAAACCGTCATCAATAATTTGCAGCATACATCCTTTAAGGATAAAATGTTAATAAAAAAAGATGAAACTAACCCTGCTATTACCTAATGCTGTACCTATTCTGCTAAATATAATAATTAATGACATATTAAGTTTCGATCCAGGTTTTATAAGATTTTTATATATGTTTAGTGTTTTTATAACTATTTATTACAATTACCATGTTAGTTGCAAACATAATTTTGTGCATTTTAGTAGCAATAAATGACTGAGACAGGCTTCTCTTAGACTCTGAACGCGATTCAAGTTTTAATAATCAATACTAAAACTTGAATCTCGTTCAGAGTTTAAAATACCAAGAACTTTAAATTCAATTTTCTGTTAAAAAACATCTTTCTACACCTATTTTTTTATTAATTAATGTTTTAGAGATAATTGATTATTTAGAACCAAATTATCATTATCTATTCTCACCCTTCTGCCCTCTTTGCAATTGATTTGAGTTTTGCATGTCTTCTCCTCCGCATCGCATCCCTATAGCGTGGTAGAGCCATGCTGCAGTTATATTATAGTATAGTTGTAGCATGAATTGGTTGGCTCATCTGGGGAAGGACCATGCTCTCACAAAATACCAGCGTAAAATAGTATCATAATGCTGCTGTTTTTCGTATGGTGAGTGTAGAGAACCGGATTCCCTTTTTACTGGAAACGAAGCATTCCTTCTTTGTCCCCACGGGTGACAAAGCATCTGCATTTTGATTTGTAATCGAGGATAGATGTAGTCTGTGGGCCGCAGCAACCCCTTACCATCCGGTGGACTGTGTGATCTTTTGTCACCTTATCCTACAAAAAAAAACCTTTTCAGGCTTTCTTTACGTACTCATTTCTTATTTTATAACAAGTTGTGGGTGAATTTTTCCTCAAACTTGGAACCCTAAATATAGTGACGTTTTTTTTGTCACTTTTTGCGACAGGCTTTGCCGGTGTCTATAGCATTTTCTGTCTACGTTACCACACTATTAATTATTTCAAAGAGTATATAATCCTTTGTTATCTACAATCATTACGAATACCTTCCTAAAGATTCAATAATCTGTACGACGACTACGTTTTACTCTACGCTAGTTTTTTCTTTGGAGGTAACTTGACTGTCGACGGGGTTTTGCTCTTGTTTTGTCGTTTATTATTATCGATTATAAGCGACAACTGACAACGACACCAGAGAATAACAAAGCGTGGGCAGTAACAACTGTGACATTACAGTTCACACTTGACAGGGATTTTGACACAACAAAAGGATATTTTTTTAGGTGATCGATGCATTTAGGAATACTGAATTATTCAAAATGAGATGAAATATTTAGTTGATATTGATTTCGTGGGTTCACATTGTTCACAAGTTCTTATTAACCAATTATTGGTTCATTGAAATTGATGTTTGACATGTGGCAACATCGATGTTTCGATGTTTAACATGTGGCAATATCGATGTTAAAATATCGATGTTTTAATTTCTAACATCGTACATCCCTATTCTATTTATTTATGGTACAGTAATCTATGATCTATGACTACAGCTCAGCAGTCTCAGCATCACATAGATTACTGTATATATACCAGCATCAGCAGCTGATTCATAGAAAACGTCAGTTTCTCTATCTAGTCTGTGTTCATAGAGTAGAGTAGAGTATGAGCTAGACGTGGGTCGTTACGTCATTTTCAAGAAACGTAACGAAACCAGTGACTTGATCGGCGTCACCTGTTTCAAAACTAGTGATTTTTGTAACTGGCTCTTTTTACTCGGCTACTGTGATTGTTTGCATAAATATCACCACCAACTATACAGTTACACGCGAAACGAAAATAAATTTAATCACAATCTGTGTTTGTAGCTATACAGTAACTGTATACTGTTAAATGAATAAATTAACTTCCCTTCATACTTTGTTCAGGTTTAGGACTGACTGCATTAAATGTATTTATGATTGATTTGCGTTTACTATGATACTAAGATTTTCATAAAATTATTAATACAGGCATATTTGGAAGTCAATTTGATTGTATATACAATGATTATTGATATTTACGGTTTATTTACACTTTTTTAACGTATTTACTATAATTTGTTTTTGCACTTTTATTTACACTGTACAATTAATTTGTTTGTTTGTTTGGCTATTTACACACAGTTTTTAAGTTTTATAATATTATAAACATTTAAATTTTTAAATTTTTTATACACATTTTTTAGTTTTATTTTAATTTTATGAATAAACGAGTTCATGACTCCGTCAAAAATGTTTTAAAAATTATTTTAGTTATACTCAATGTGACTCGCTTCCCGGAATCGCAAACCGTTGAATTTATTTACAAACAGAGATTACTCTATTTTATTGGCTATGTCTAAAGTCTTACGTATGAAAATTAAACGTACAATAATACTGTTACTTACGATGTTTTGTTTATTGTTGTATGCCACATGTGCGCTTTGCGTACGACCGACCGACAGTCGACTCCCGCAATAATCATGGTTAACAGTAATCATAATCACGCATTTACAAAAATCACTACTTGTAACATGACTCGAAACTAGTGATTCGGTTACATGTCGCGTAGCCAGTTACTGTATCTAGTGACGTGAAATAACGCCCACGTCTAGTATGAGCTGACCATAGATAAATAAATATGTAGCAAGCTAGAGCTGACTGACAGACTGACTGACTGATTCATTCATGTTCAATAATTTTGGAGTACGATTGTGATTTTGTGATTGCAATTGTATTTTCATATAGATTGTAGATGTGTCCTACTAAATGATTTAACTTTATAATAAATTTTCATCATATTTTGTTAGCTCTACGTAGGATTTTTATTTTGTACTATATCTGTTGTCAATTCTCATACTACACTCTTTAGGTTATATACTTTCCATCATTATGTCTATCGTGTAAAGACGGCAGAATTCACTGACTTTATCAAGCACTGGAACAAAACTTAATAATGAGTACAACGGAGTATATCCAAATAAAGGACTTGAAACCAGGCATGAAGAATATAAACTCCATATTTATAGTATTAGAGGTAGGCCCAGTGACACTGACGAAAGAAGCAAGAGAAGTGCGAACATTACGGGTTGCCGATGCCACTGCTTCTGTTAATCTTTCCGTTTGGGATGAGCCTGGTGCACTGTTACAGCCTGGTGATATTATACGCCTCACGCGAGGCTATGCATCTTTATGGCGCTCCGCTCTTACTCTTTATTCGGGTAAATCTGGTGATATCCAAAAAGTGGGAGAGTTTTGCATGCTGTTTAATGAGCAGGTGAACATGAGTGAGCCTCAGCCGGTTTCTCCAGCTCCACCTCCCGGTACACAACCGCCAAACGATCGTAGTAATGGGGCTCACCCTGGGCCCCGTTCTTTAATGCCCAACACACCTGCAGGTGGGCAGGGGACTCAACATAATCCTCCTAAGCAAGAGCGCTTTGGCGCAGGGGCTCCACAGGAACACTCAGGGAAGCATGCCCATAAGACTTATGTTAGAGGCAGGGGCCAGCAGCGAGGTAATAACCGCAGGTAGCAAGCAACAGAATAATTGTTATTTTTTTTAATTTGACTTTGGTGATTAAGAGCATCTCTGGTTTAATGATTTTGTGTATATTAGTATAAGTAAAAATGCTATAAACTATATATATATATATAATATCTGTATGTATACTGTATATATATATATATGTATATAAGTCGTTCTTAGTCAGTCATCAGTTAGTAAATAAGCAATTTTATCACTTAGTATGTTCCATAGTCAATGTAAATTTTCATTTTATAAGTTTCTTAAAATGAGAGAAAATTTTGTGCTATATTGTAATCTTTACAACATTGCAATATTAAAGACTAAAAATTAATTAGCTAAGATTCATGTGAAGAATGTGTCTCACCTAGTTATAAGAGCACCTTCCTTACTTCCATTGTCTGCATGTCATTGTTACTACTAATTCCAATACCACTACACTAAAATAGGCACACCACCATTATAATATGACATGTGTTTCACCTCTAAATGGGGAGTCATCAGAAGAAATAGACTGCTGTTGCGTCTGACTTCTAGCGAGCGGACAATTCCTTGAAGTATCTGATGCATTTGGTTTTATTTTGTTTAATAACATCATGAATATGAATACATCTTTGAAAAATGTACATCTACATAAATGTTTATACTCTTTGGTAAAAAATAATTCAAAAAATATGTTTTGTTTATATAGTTAAAAATTATTTAATCAATAAATATTTATTTCTACTATTAACTAACAAAATACCCCAAGTCAAATAATCATATCTGGGCTCTTACTTTAAATGCAGTAAGGCACAAAACTTCATAATTTTCTGTTTCATGATGAAGTGCCTCATCTTGATAGATTATTTGTGGTTCTTGAAGGTAAATAATGTCTAATTTTAGTTTTGATTGTTTAGTAGCTCTGTGGTGGAGTATATTGCAGTAATGATGCAAGGTTTCAGAGATAGCAGTAGAAATAAGAGTTTCACATTTATGTGATAGAGCCATACTGCAGCTATATTATGGTTGTAGCATGAATGGGTCGACTCGACTTGAGAAGGATCACACTCTCAGAATACTAATGTAAAATAGTAGCTCAGTGTTGCTGTGTTTCATATGGTGAGTGTAGAGAACCGGAGACCATTTTACTGGAAATGGGTCGTTCCATTGTAGTCCTCAGGTGTGGTAATGGATCTGCATTTTGATTCTTAATTGTGGATTGATGTTGATGTCTGTGGGCCACAGTATCCACTTGATGGTAAGTAAGTAAGTAAGGTGGATTGTGCGTTCATTTGTCAACCTTATTCTATTAAAAAATTGTAAAAATGCCTTGCACACATTGAGAGGCCTTTATCATTTATTATTTAGATTACTAAACTAATTATACTATTTGTTGCTATAGCTGAGAAAGAGCATCTGCATTCTAAGACTATTTTTTTGGTAAGACTACAGGTACATTGTATTTGCCTGTCTTAATTTTAGGTGTACACTTGGTGACATAAAATTATATTGTAAATGTATTCAAAATATAACTCCAGAATTGTCTGTATTTCCAAAACCTATGTATATATTGGGATTACTTCTATCATAGAGCACTGAATCGTCTTGACGACATATTCAGTGCTCTGTGGTTTTAGACAAGAAGAACTCATGAAATCCTTAAATGGTCATTATTTAGATTATTTAAAAATAAACATTTAACAACTTGCCACCTTGTTGTAAATATGTTTTCATTAAAATCAAGCTCTTTGTTCATTTGTGAAAACTCTTTTTTAAATTAGCTCTAAACAAATAATAGATTTTTGTAGTGTTGTAATTTTTTGCAAGTTTTCTTTAAAATTGAAATAAAAATATCTCATTATTATGTGAAATTATATTTGGCTCTTACAAGTTTATTTGTTCAAATATCTTTTAATATACAATGTTGTGTAACCTTTTTTTTAAGCATGTTGAGAAACTTAAGAGGTTTCAAGATTTAAAAAAAAGAAAGTTTTTAGATTACCTAATTTTTACTGTACTGTTGCGTACATTACATGTACAAGTTGTGAGGGAAGTGTGTTAAAATCATACCAAATGAAATTCCGTAGTCTCTGCCGGCTAGGCAGACTGTTAAAAGTTAGGCTCTCTAATCTGTGGCCTAGCTTACCCCTCTTGGTGACAGTCGTAAGTGAAATTAAAAAAGTCATAATATTCAGCATGGGCATGTTTGCACGCAGTCAGCATATTTTAGAGGGTGGCAATTTGGGAATTAAAGTTGGCCCTCCGTCTAACCTTTGAAATAACTTTCTATTAACTGAATAATTAAGAAACACGACTAGTGACAGGTGATGCTCTCTAGTACATAGTCAGTAATCTATGGTGATGCAAAAGCGATACTGATGTCAGCGACAGCGACGGAAACAGAATAAAAGCGAAACTACAAGTACAATGTTTTGCGGAAGTGGGTCAAGTTTCAAGTGGTACACACTTGAAAACTGGGTTTATATTGAGTTATTATTTGAGTAGTAGTATTATTTGAGGAGTACAGGAGTAGTTGTATTATTTGAGTGCATTGACAAATTACTTGAGTCGATGTCTTGTTTTCTGATCATTTAGAAAAGTTAATGGGAGATGACTTGTATTTACAAATTTCGGAATGCCGCCAACTCTGTCGCTTGAGGTCATGGCTACTTATTCCCGCGTTTATATTATTTTTAAATTTATTTTTTTTAAATGTTATTCTCACACTAGAACTAGAATTTTCTCATCTATTATAGAGGCAGTTTCTACATACATTAATTGCACATGGACAAACATCCAGACCCCGAACAATTATTTGGCCGTACAAACACATGGTGTGGGATTCGAATCCGCGGCTTTTAGCAACTCAATACTAAGCCTCTGCACCATTTTGCTATTGATACTTCAATAATTTAGTTATTAATACTTGAAGAAAATATAGACGGATTAAACTGTGTTGTCTGAATGATAAAATAGAAATGAATAAATAAAATTATATAGCTATATACAATGTACATAATATAAAAATAATAATGTGCTGTTTGCTAGCTACTTTCTTTCTACGTTTTCACACGGTGTGATTGTTTACCCATTAGGAACGACATTTTCTTCAATCTAATAAAAATACAATTTATATTATTTATCTGAATAAAAATAAATAATACACATTACGATCGTATGTATATGCGCACTCTACACACGCACTCACGCAGGCTCGCACGCATAGGTGGCAAATAGTCGATGATTAGGTACAAAACGCAAGATAAGCTCTCATGGGTCTTTGAGTTTGACTGATGGACGGTCAGCAGCACCGGCTTTGTAAGCTGCTGCTGCTGCGATAACTAATTTGTGTTTCTTGTTCAGGAATTACTACGATTTCAAGCCGTTATTGAGCTACTTTCATTAGTTTTTATAAGTCCCCTTTGTACACCTATGCCGGAAATTTTTGGGAGCACTACGTTCAAAGTTGTCGACGAGTACGTTTACTTAAGACTAATAGTTATATACAATATATATATATATATATATATATATATATATATATATATATATATATATATATAATCATCCTTTCACGGTAAATGTTGATCCAGTGAGAAGTTAGAACAATTGTTAATCCACATATTTGACGTGTTTGCTCAGCTCCTCGTCGCACAAACTGTTATACTTTGATCCATCCTTGATGCGCGTGTGACTTCGGTGGATCTCCACTAACAGGTTTTCAATATACTCGTCAGCGATTTGACCAACAATTTTTGATCTATCAACGGTCGAAAAAATCATACTGAATATGATTTTTTAGATCCAGAGTATATTTAATTTATATGCGATATTTACTTAGACTAAGTGGATCCGGAGCCATAATTGACGAATAGGTACTCGAACACGAAGCGGCAACGTCGCGTTCTGTGTATGATAGAGAACCCAGTAGGCTACTTCGTTATAGTAATAAGGTAAGAAAATACGTTATCTGCTGATTTTGTGGATCAAACTTTGGCAGGTTTTATTGTGGAAAGATGTTTGTTCGAGTTTTTGTTATCGTGTGAGTGAATTTGTGTTATTTTATTCATTTGGATGAGATGGATAGTACTTTATTACAAATTAATTTGTCACTCGAGTGTGTGTGTGTATGTGGTGTAAGGGTGGGGGGTGCCATTTAGTTCGCGCGTGGGTGTTTGTGTGTGAATGTGTGTGTTTTTATGCGAGTTTGTGTGTGCGCGTGCGTGTGGATGTATGTGCGTTCATGTGTGTTCGTGTGAACGCATGTGCGTGCGCGTGTGTGTGAGTGTATGTGTGCGTGTGTGCACTGTTGTGTTTTTTTAGTACGTGTGTGTGTGTGTGTGTGTGTGTGTGTGTGTGCGTGTGTGTGTGTGTGTGTGGGTGTGTGGTGTGCGTGTGTGTGTCTTATTTATGTGTGTGTGTGTATGCGCGTGCGTGTGCGAGCGTGCGGGTGTGTGTGCGTGCGTGTGTGTCGTCTGTGAGCGTGTTTGTGTGTGTGTGTGTGTGTGTGTGTGTGTGTGTGTGTGTGTGTGTGTGTGTGTGTGTGTGTGTGTATGTGTGTGTACGCCCAGAAAACGGAGGCGGAGAATGGAGACGTGGAGGTGGAGGTGAATGCAGCGTAGTATGTGGTGAAGGCGGAGGAGAGGAATTTGTGGTGAAGTCGGAGAATTGGAAATGGCGGCGGAGGGAGTGGACTTTATTGTTGAGGCGGATGGAGCAGAGTTTATGGTGGAGACGGAGGTAGCGGAGGTGGAGAACGAAGGCTTAGAGAGGGGTGCGGTGGTAGATGTGGAGGCGTAGGTGGCAGAGGTGGTGGTGGGTGTACTGGAGTGCAGTAAAGTGGGTACCGCGTGAGGGCAAGTGAGGCTCATATAAAGGACAGTTGGTTACAGCGAAAAACAGTGTGGCTGGTAAGTGGATATCGATACTGCCCCTAAAGATGTTACTACGAGGTTATTCATTTTTCCGAATATCAGCTTGGATACCTATTGGTACTAGAGACAAAGTGAAAAGAACTTTTGTTTTGT